GTGGTGGAGTGGGGAGTGGGTTAATTATTTTATAGTAGAATTAAATATTAATAATAAATTAATTTAATAATTATTATTTCATAATTAAAAATTTTAAAAAAAACTTGAATTTTGAAATTTGAAACATGTTTTGGTATTTTTGAAATTGGTAAAAGTAAAAGCATGATTTATGTATTCTTCCCTTAAATGTATTAATCAAAACATCTATTAAAAAAAGGGTACTGGGCCTAATATTCCCTTGGTATGATTGTGGGGACAGTTTATGGGCTAACAGCGTTGGACCAACCTTTACAGAGACACATCAGCAGACAATGTATCTTATTGGGCTTTTATCATAAAGCCATTAATGGGCCAAATGAGTTGTTTGTCTTCAGCTCTGGACTCTAATCATGAGTCCAGCCCAAGAGACACAGTATATGGAAAATAAGTAAATATCATTTCGATTTACTTACTATATTTGAAAAGTTTATTAGTGTTGTTCAACAAAGCTTATGATTTTTTTATTTTTTTTATTTTTTTGTAGATTTTAATAAAAATTGATGAGATCTGTGATTGAAAAGTTGCGACTCACACGAGAGGTATGGTTAAAATTAATTGTTGATTTTGACTTCAACTTTTTAAACTATTCCAAACAAGCACTTAATACTATGTATGGCTTAATTATAATCTTCAAAAATGTCGTTCTGATGCAAGTCGAATTATTTATTTTATATAGACGCGTGCTCATTTAGTAAATGGATGACAACGATAATTGAATTCAAAACTTCTACATGCTACAATATCATATTGAGAGTTTGAAGCACATCATCTAAAAATCATGCACAAATGTAAGGTGGGGCTCGTGATTTAAAAGAACGGCGTATGATGAAAGGGAATTGGGTTGAGAATATGATTCAAGATTATTAAAAATATCGTACTAAAAATAAGAAACTACAACCTAAAAATGGATATAAGAAATCTGGTCGAAAATCTTGAGCTAAGTCGCTCTTTGGATAGCACAAGAATAGAAGTTGTAAATTGATATTTGGTAACTTTATCTAATTAAAATGCTATTCGTGTTCTAAAATTGTTAATGCTCGATTATTATTTGAACTCAATATCACTAACGTGCGTTGTGTATCAAAACTACTTCGTAAACATCCCGAGTTGTAATATGAGAATATAACAAGCTTCTTGTCACGCGTAAATGATAAGCTCATTATTCCTATGATGTCAAGAATAAGTGCGTGAATTGACTCTAGGCACCTCTAGACCTCAATTCCACATCTAAAATTGAAAAAATTCATTATTCTCCATTCAATTCATGATAAAAGTATTGGACCACCAAACCTCGTATAATCCAAACTTATTATATCTCCACCAATAGTAAACAACTAAAATTCTGTAAAACCAACCACATCACACCTGATTCTGATACCGACAAGCTGAATTCTTGGGCCCCCACCCCACCCTACCCCACCAAACCTCAGTTTGGATGATGATGCAAAAGGGTATTTTCAAGATTTGATTTTGAAACCTCGTATGTTTCAAAAACAGACAACATTCTCCCAATTTCACCACCAAATCTTAATACCCCTCTTTTGTCCACCAATCCCATAGCACAAAAAGGCCCACGCTTTTAATAATATTTAAAAATTGACCAAGGGCTTTGTTCACATTCTGATACTGATGATGGTGACAAGTAGACAAATGTTTAATAGTTATGTTATTATTAGATAGGAGAAAAGATTTCAATTTTGAGTGACGTGGCAGTAGCCCCTTGAATGACTGAAAGTGTAATCCAACTGAAACACATGATGTTTATTGTCTTTTTGTTGTGACTGATATGATCTCTGTCGGGAACAAAACCTCGTACTTGTCTGAATAAATTAACAATTTGAAAAAGTAGTCAGAAGTTTCTAAAAGTGTCTTCAGACAGTTTATTTTGATCCACAACCCAATAAAATACTTAGTCAAACAAAACCCATGGGATTCCTGGGACATGTCAAACATTCTAGCGCCAGGTTTCAAAAAATATTCTAACGGCTAATTAGTAAGGCACGAAGAAGTTTTCAAAAGACACTTTTCTCTTCTTTTATTTTTCGTGGGCTGGGTTTTTGAGGTGTGGAGGGTGAGGGTGAGGGTGAGGGTGGGGTGGAAGAGGGAGAGGGGGAACTTGCACATTATCTCGAGAGAAATGGATACTTACAGCTACACAAAGTTAGTCCTACAATACACAAACTTAAAAGAGTCAATCTTTGAAGCATACCTTTAAAAGGAGACTAGAGAAATCCATACGAGTCGGCTATTGATCCCTAAAAGGTGAGTTACATGCCCGAAATACTCAAAACATTTCATGCACATTAGAAAGAACAATTCATGTGCTTTATCAAAAACAACAAAATTAACGCCTCGATAGCCTCACTAGCAGTAAGCGCATCATGGGTTCTGTTCTGTTGATTTCCAAAGGTTCGGAAAAGCACGTAGCAGCAGATTTGTGTTGTAGGGACAGACGGCGCCGACCTGATGGCTTTGATCAGTCAATGATCACAATGGAAGACAATTTGTTCCCTCCGGTACTGTCTTAGTCATTGGAACTGCGATAACATATCTCTGAAGGTGTTTCTGAGCTGATGGTGTTGTGCCAGAAGATGATGCTGTATCGACTACACCTTGATGAGCCCTGCCGTGAAACTTTGCCAAACGGTTGATGATCGAGAACTTCTCCAACTCCTGGGCTTCTGCCTTAATGTCCGTAAACGATGAAGTCTTGTCCAATCTGCATCATCAAATTACACAATATGTTTACTAGCTTCTGTACAACTTATCTTGTATCTATAGGAAACATAAATAAAAGGTACATGGAAAATGTAAAATGATCCAACCTTAAGTACATATGTTTGGTATGGAGTATTAGATTGTATTGAAAGTAAAATAGATAACATGTTAACGGTTCAGTACTATCAAATCCACCCTACTGAACATGTATTGTTTTGATCCTCGCTGTACACTTTCTCAAGTCTGCGGTTTGGATTCCTAGAGAAATATATTCTTACCTTGACATGTTTCCCTTGAGCATCTTCATTTGACTAGTGAAGCCTTCTGCAACTTTTGAGAAATCATAAGCGCCAGTTCTCTTGAAAGTTTTCAGCTTATCAGGTGACCTAAACATATTTTATGAAGTGATGTTCAGAAATACAAAGCCACTGTTACCATCATCTCTGATTTGGAAATAAACCTACTCGAGTTAAAAAAGGAAATGGAATTGAACATATATAAAAACAACTGTTACTTGTCACTTGTGTCAGACGGAAATTGAGCCAGGCAGCAGGCATCTCCCAATGTTAATCTTGCAGCAAAATATGCCATGAAATCGTAGTTTGGACTTGCATCTGCAGAGAGAATGACTGTTGGTGCAGGCCGAAAGACCTGCTGCATAAGCTGTGTTGTAAAGATAAGCCTTCTTTTTGCTCGAACCAATGGGTGAATATCTTCAAGGAGTACAGACTCCATTTTAACCTGCTAATATGAAAATTATTATGAACGAGTTTTAATTCTTCTATACCAGCACACACAGTCAAATTGTTTATAGTATTGAATTTTGTTAATCTGCCTCACCTCTTCAAAGATTTTATTTGTAGCTTGTGCCCATTCTAACAAAGATGTGCTGCAGTACAATAAGAGGACAACAGAAAAATTAGGAAACATTAGTGTTATCCTTTTATTTTTTGCATGTGATTGCTCGCTGTGTGGGATGGGGTACTCTTAGGCAGCAATTGACAGTAGAGGCAAGAAATGGTTCTATTAGCGACATATTCAAATGCTCAAACCTGATATTTTGAAGCCTCCATGAAGTTTGAGTTACTTCTTTGTGCCATGGTACAAGTTCAAATGCAACGATCTTACGCTTCTTTGGTCTTGAAACTTCCGTGTTTGGATAAGTGATATCTGAAGGTAACACATTAGAGGGAGATAATTGTTTACTTGCTATTGTAATTGGCCATATGCTGCTTCCTTGACTAGCCGAATTCACCTGCAGAATTGAGCTATTTGTTGGCAAGTTAGCTAGAGTCCTTCCAGAAAGTTGATGTACTGCAGTAATTTCAGTATTGGCATCGAACCGTGGCCACATCTGCTCGTTTTTGAAGGTCCCATAATGTTTAAACCAGGACGGAGCCATTTGCAAACTAATCTGGGACTGATAAGTAACGTTAGAACCTTCATTACTACCGATGGATGCACTCTGAGTATCATTTTGGCCGAACATTGCCGTCTGTTGGGAATCATGAAGGTAAGTCTGTGATGAAGTTTTGCCCAACTGATCACCTTGGGCTTCTGGACAAAAGTTCCATGGTGTTTTATTGTTTCCAGACAAAATTGCATCATTTTTCTCCATATCGTTGATTCCGGACTTCTGTCCAGGCTGCTGGTAGTTAATACCAAAATCAACACCTTCACATTTAATTGGTAAGTTTTTACTAGAATCACCTTCCTCGGTTTTTAGAGGCATTTGCACCTGGTGCATAAAGGAGTGATTTTGATTGAGAGCATATAAATTGCCAAAGGCTCCAGTATCTCTAGTTGGATATAAAGGGGTTTGGTTGCCTCTCTGATGTGCCATATTAGAGTGCTGCATCAACAATCCAGGTTCAACATCTCCTTCTAATTGATGCTTTCCCATAGACTCATGCTCGTGAATAGATCTACTCTGTGAAATTGAGGTACCTACCCCAGTTGAGCCATATTGGTGGGACCCCTCTTTCCCCAACCACTGTTCACGACGATCTGATTTTCCTGAATGGGCACCATATTCTTGTACACTGTTTTTCTCTCGTTTAAAAGAGTTTTGATAATGCTGTTCATGTGAATGCCCTGCGGTATCCTGTGGACTGCTCAAAGCTAAATCAGAGGATTGGAGCAAAGCTGGCCACACATTGGATAGCCCCATGGGAAGTCCCACATGCTGAGACACACCTGATGTCAATGACGGCTGAGTGACTGGAACAGATCCCAAAATAGGTAATTCTTGATCATAAAGATGGCCGCTTTTAAGAGGACCACTATCTTGGGAGGCAGCAGCGCTATATGCTGGAAGTTTACTTGCTAAATGACTCACCATAGTCACAGGTGGAGCTGAAGGATGACGATTTTGAAGATGTGAATGACTTGAAGGCGATGTTGCACTTGAGTTCCCCTGCATAGGCAAAAAAAATATTGAATCGACTAAAAAATATTATATTTGCAAATTGTGAAATGTAATGGAGGTGCCGTCTTAGTGGACCCTTCCATACAAGCTCAAGGTTCACATGAACAGAAGTTTTACTCACCGACGAAGTTTGAAAGAAAGAGTATGGCTGTGGTGTCTGCTGATCTGCAAGTCCCAATCTTAAGCCAAATCCTTGTGATACAGAAGAAATGTTGTGTGATTTACCAAAAGATGCAGAAGTTTCAGTTAGGGGCTCTTCCTTTTGAGTTGAGTCGTTTGGGTTCAAATTCCCATGTGCTTGTTCCATGGATATATCACCCTTGTTAAGTAGATCGAGCATACTTTCACTGCCATAGAAAAAATCAATCAGAGAAGGATTTACACAAGATAAAAGGTAAAGGACAAGTAGACAAAAGCAAGATAATAATGAAGACTAAGAAGTAAAGAAATAGTCCCCAAAGACATTAATGATGCTAAAGTATAAAAAGGGAATACAATTGCCTTCTTCATGCAACAAGACATTTTTCCATGGATAACTTCACAAATTCACCATATTGTAAACAGTCACTACCTTGTTTGAACAGTCACACTTTGGATGTTCAGATGAGTGAGAGAACCAAAGAGAGATGACGTGGGCACAAAATTGTTTCTGGGAGCCATCTTCGATGATTCTTTTGAGTACCTTTGATTATTCGACTGGAGTACATATAAACAAAGATTAGGTTAGAAAATATAAACAACTTCAATAAACAAAAACATCAGACAACCAAACATTGATGATCTGGCTGTATTAAGTTCAATTCAGTTCATAAAATATTGGGATTGAGCTAGCAGGAAAAACATACAGCACCAACCTGATCAAATGGCTTTTGACTGCCACCAGTCACGTGCTGAGGTGTACTGCCATGAAGCTTGCCTCTCGATTCATGCCCTGCATCAGAGAGAAACCTTTCATCAAGATTTCCCTTAGAATTGCCAATGATGCTTAAAGTTAAAAAAAAATTCTAACATATACGACAGTAGTACCAAAACATTGATGAGTCCAACCAAACTTCATACTCAACACTTTCTTCAATCAGGAATGTTTATTATTGAATTCCCAATGCTTAAGGATACTAAAGACAGAACATTTTTCTTACCTGAGAGGCTGCTGAAAGGTCGGTTCACATTGGCATATGATAAAAAGCTAGACTGATCTGTATCATTTCTCAAATTCTCATGACGCTGACCAAGCCAAAAGTTTGGCACAGGTGAAGATGTTTGAATCATTTGACTTCCTTCTACAGGATGCTTCTGTTGAGGGCTATAATCTGACCACTTGTTAGCATCACTAGTGGACTGCTGAATCGAAGAATGAGAAGACTCGGAGTGTGACTCCTCTCTTTGTTTGACATATTGGTCACCGGATTGCTGAAAACCAGGAAAGCTGTAGTTCAGATTGGAAATCTGAAAAAAGGGCTCAGGTTTTGAACTTGGCAAGTCAAACCAATTCTTTTGCTGCTTCCCACCGTCAATGTAATTAGAGCAGTGATTTTCAGTTGAAGGTTCTAGGTTCTGAATGCTCAAACCACTCCAGCCTTCTTGTACCCCAGTGTCACCACTCGAAGTTTCCGCCACAGCTGACTGCATAAGAGCACTCCAGCTCCCACTTTGCATAGAAGGCAATTCATCCATATAAGACGTGAGATCCAGGGTACATGCAAAGCCTCCAGCATCCGTGTTATCCTCTGTGTTGTATAAGATCTTCTGTTCCAATGGGTCGAGAGAAGTGCCAGGCTGCAGGAAAAGGCCTGGTTTTGGCACGTTTCCTGGAGGAAGCCCGTGCAAACCAGCTTGGTTTTGCCTCTCCTCAGATTCAAGAATTGATGTGTTCCTCTGCTGGGTGTTCCCTTGCTGGGAGTAGTTCTCATGTAAATTCCCATCATTGAAACCTTGAACAAGGCCTTGTCCGAACAAATTCTTCTCCTCAAACACTTGATTGGGTAGCAGCGCTCCATCTGGGATGCAAATCTGGTCTGAAGAGAAATCGCTTCTTTGACTAATAACTGAGTTACTGAAGGCCGATTGCTGCATGGTGGGCATTTCCAATGGGCTATTTTTGTTCATGACCATCAGATTGGCAGAATCATTAGATGGCCCCTGGAGGTGAGAATATAAAGGTACACCAAACTGCTGTTGTGAAAATCCCAAAGGACGTCCAGGCAGATTCTGAGGTTGTGAAAGACCCAATCCATTAGAAAAACCAAAAGTCGCTGATCCACCATGTTGTATCACGTCCACAAACATTTGTGATGAATCATTAACGGTTGCTCCATTAATTGGATGAGGAAATTGGGCACCTGAAGCCTGCTTTAGTGATGGCAGTTGATTTACATAACTCTGTTTTCTTCCTTCACCAATCTCCTGGAGCTGCTGCCTCCGCTGCATTTCCTGAATCTGTTTAAACATAATTTGCCGCTGCAACATTTGTATGTCACTGAATTTATATCGCTGCCTCAATGATGCTGTTGCATTCCAACAAAGCCTTTTGAGATATAAATCGGACAGAAAGTGGTGAAATTTTTAGCAGCTTAATTCCTCAGCAGCAAACTTATCCATATAAATACTCACTCCAGGAAAGAAAAAAATCCTGGTAGACATGAAAGAAATAAAAAGAAAATAAGGACATAAGAAAGATTATATTACAAAAATGGAAGAATAAACAGATAATAAACATAAGATACCGAGTCCAAAAATTAAACCCAATTACTAAACCTCAGAATTATATCAATGTTATAAATAATACACAATTTCTACAACTTGGTATAGCACATGCTTGAGGTAAAAAATCCAGTGAAACTGACCAAAAATCTGGTGTCCTGTATATGTACTTTAAGTTCATCTATCTTGGGATTAATCTATGTGTACATAGGTGTACACATAAAGGATGACATAATGTGAGTGGGGCGGGGGCCACGCTACACTCACATTATTTCATCCTCTATGTGTACACCTATGTACACATAGCACTTCCCAAGTTGAAAGCAGACACAGGGACTGAAAGCAACCTGCACAACCTAAGTTTGGAATTGGAACATTGATAACATTTTAGAATTGTGGAGATGTCTATTCTAGAACGTTCCGTGGAAGAGGTTTGAAGGAGGACTCCAGGATGTAGTAGAAATAAGGGAAGCAACATTCCAGAATAAATTATCTATAATAGGATTGAAACATCTCTCACCACCATAGGATTGTCTACCGCAGAATAAAAGTAGGTGGAAGTTTAAATAGCGGCCTCATTTGAAAGCCACCAACTTAAAACGAAGGAACCAAATTGCAAGAACAAAGTCTGGAGAGCTAGAGTACCATGGTTGTTGAGAGTTATAATACAATTTCTGCATCTTTCTCTCTAATCACTCACTTTACCATACTCACGAGTTTTCTCTTTAGCGCCAAAGTGCTGTGAACTCTTTGAGGTTGACTTAGCTAGTGCTACCAACCATAGCTAAGTGTTGCACAAGAGCTTAAGTCCAAGAACAAGGAGTTTGAGAATGTATAACTTATAAAACATAACTAGTTAGTTGATTCAAGAATTTTAAATTGGTTAACATCTTCAGTTCACTGTAGATGTGTTTTCTATTTGATAGCTTAAACCTTCAAAAATAAAAACAAGTTGTCTTATTTAAAATCTTAACTTTTCAAGAAAGAGGCAAAACAATAGCCAAAATCAACACAGAATTATAAAAATTCATTATATTTCTAAATACATACAGTAAATCACTACCGAAATTTGCTAATAATTTACTTCTCAGCAAATAAAGTAAAATAAAGATTGATAAAAATAGTGTCACACCTAATCAGCCAAAAACAACCCCTGGTTACCAAAATTAATGTAAATCAAAAAACAATTATCACCGAAAGAGTTCCAACTAAGCTCAGTCTTTAGAAAACAATTACAACCAGTCAAATGTACAATTAATTCAAGAATTGAAGTTAATCTCCAAGAATTTCACTCACCCATAAACCCTAAAAAGATCATGCATGCTACCAAATACCAAAATTCTTCACGGCAAATTCCACAGAGACATATAGAAACCTCACAATAGAATCAATTTCAACCCCATTTTACCAAAACTAAGTGTTAAATTCACAAAAACACCGCTCAAATTACTAATTGCACAATTCAACATGCATGAAAGAAGACAAAAGCTCAAACCTTAACTATATACAAGCAAGACAAGCAGCAAAAACGGTAGTTTTAAGTAATTAGTGAGTGATCTGAGATAAATAATTGATGGTTGTTGAGTTTGTATGTGATATTTACCTTCCTAGACTTACTTTGCAAATATTAATTTATGAAAGGGAGATCAAGATACTGCAATTTCTTTGAGCTGGAACTCTACAAAATGCTTCTTCATTCTCTCACTGTATATAAATACAAAATATGTATGTATAGCTGTCACATTTTACTGCTTGCTTTCTCTATCTAGCTCCAGTGAGGAGGTGGTTATGTTTTTCAGACAAGTTCCAAGATAATAAAGCCATCAAAACCGTGCAAGAAATTACAAAAAAAAAAAAAAAGGTACTTCATTGTTCTGGTTTGGGTCGACCCTGTTAAGTTCGGAGCAGTGCGGATGGTAGGGATTCAGGCTCGAGTTTCTGAACCTGAGTAGTGGTTCCCTGCTATGCATTGTTTGATCATTGTAAAATTGGGAGCGTCCGATCAGATATTTACTTGAGCATCGGTCAAGATTGAAGGTCCATGTACACCTGAGATGGTACTGGATAACTTTTAGGTGTGAAAGGAAGAAAAAGTGGAATTAGATAGGAATTTCCACGCGCTTTTCTACACGCGTGTCGTTTTCTTTTATAATTGCCTTTTGCAAGTTTTTTCCGGGACAAAAAGGACTTTTCGTGCCCAGTTTTTTGTGGATATATTATCACCACAATTTTTATTTAGGGCTTGTACGATACAGTTTAAAATTCAATTAAAATTGAAAATATGATCGTTATTGGGTCCGACTCGTCTAATAAAAGTCAACAATAACAACTAATTTTTCAATTTTAATCTCTACCGAACACGCCCTTAATACACTACATTTTAATTACAATTAAACTCCTTAATATTTGCTCATTGTAGCAATTATTTCCTTAACTTTTTTCGTCGAATTCTTATCTTCAACTTTCCATTAATTAATACGTCTATGATGATGATTTATATCAAAATATTTTGTATTCATACTTTGAAATGAGGGAAAAATATTTTTTTCATATTTTTTATTTATTTATTTTCTAAAAATATGATGAAAAATAAGTTTTTTTAACATCATTTTAACGGATTTTTAGACATAAAATTCTTATCAAATACAAAATATGTTAACTAATGAAAAGTTTGAGGATAAAAATGACATAAAAAGTTATTATGAAGATAAAAATTATAATGAGCAAAGATTAAAAACATTAAGTACAATTAAAATGTGGTGCAGAAAATAAAAGTCGTCGTGTGAATATAATTATCCTTTTTTTTTAAAATTTTTTTTGCTGTCTTTATAATGTGACAGTATTTATCCGCCGCCTTAATAATATGATAATTATAATTAGACAGTCATTAAAACATGTTTAATCCCATAGATTGTTATTAATGCAAATATTATTCTCTCAAACTTTAATAATTGTTTAACAAGATGAGCTTGAAATTGATTTCTTAGCGGAAAGAGGAATAAAATACAAGCAATTTCAGTTTTTTTGAAATCGATTTATTAATTTATTTTATATGCATTGCTGTGGAAGGGGATGTAGCTCAAATGGTAGAGCGCTCGCTTTGCATGCGAGAGGCACGGGGTTCGATCCCCCGCATCTCCAAAATTCTACATTTTCAAATCAATGCTATGTTTGGTAAAAATTCTTATTTTTAATAGTAAATCAATTCTCATTTTCATGGTGTGTAAAAAGTTATTTTATTATAAAAGATAGTGTAGTTATTAAAATAGAAGAAAAAGTTGGTGTGTAAAGGGTAGTATAGTGATAAGTTTTAGTTAAGAAGGAGGTTTTTTAGGGTACCAAACACACACCAAATTTGCTTAATTTTTTGGCTAACTTTTGTAGGATTTACCTTTTTCAACATTATGTTCAGATTTTGGATCCTTGTTTGACAATCATTATTTCAAACTCTTTTTTTTTCATATTCATTTTCAATTACACATCCTCGCAATAAAATATTCTTCACGTATATTTAAAAATTTTCATTACTTTTTAACAATATATTCTCCCAAAATTCACTACTCAAAAACTCAATTTTTTCCCAAAAAAAAATCCAGGACTATATATCAAAAATTTTAACACTTTTCTAACCATTCACTTCAATAAAAACAGAATTTTGGGTTTCTTCCTACGTTTATGATCACACATGGTATGACTTTATACTTCCTCGATCATACAAAAGAGACAACTAAAAAGATGGTATAAAAGTATCTTATAAAATTCCTTGTTTTTCATTAATTTTACAACGCAAATGCACTATTTAGTTTCCTCATTCTAATGAAAAGTTTGAGGATAAAAACGACATAAAAAGTTATTATGAAGATAAAAATTATAATGAGCAAAGATTAAAAACATTAAGTACAATTAAAATGTGGTGCAAAAAATAAAAGTCGTCGTGTGAATATAATTATCCTTGTTTTTTTAATTTTTTTTGCCGTCTTTATAATGTGACAGTATTTATCCGCCGCCTTAATAATATGATAATTATAATTAGAAAGTCATTAAAACATGGTTAATCCCATAGATTGTTATTAATTATTCTCTCAAACTTTAATAATTGTTTAACAAGATGAGCTTGAAATTGATTTCTTAGCGGAAAGAGGAATAAAATACAAGCAATTTCAGTTTTTTTTGAAATCGATTTATTAATTTATTTTATATGCATTGCTGTGGAAGGGGATGTAGCTCAAATGGTAGAGCGCTCGCTTTGCATGCGAGAGGCACGGGGTTTGATCCCCCGCATCTCCAAAATTCTACATTTTCAAATCAAGGCTATGTTTGGTAAAAATTCTCATTTTCAACCACACATTCTTCAATAAAATAATATTTTCTATCACATCAATAATTTTATCTTCTTTTTCAACCACACATTTCCCATCATATCACTATTCAAAATCAATTCTTCCTCCAAAAAATCCCTACCAAACACACACCAAATTTGCTTAATTTTTTGGCTAACTTTTGTAGGATTTACCTTTTTCAACATTATGTTCAGATTTTGGATCCTTGTTTGACAATCATTATTTTAAACTTTTTTTTTTTTTTTTCATATTCATTTTCAACTACACATCCTCGCAATAAAATATTCTTCACGTATATTTAAAAATTTTCATTACTTTTTAACAATATATTCTCCCAAAATTCACTATTCAAAAACTCAAATTTTTCCCAAAAAAAAATCCAGGACTATATATCAAAAATTTTAGCACTTTTCTAACCATTCACTTCAATAAAAACAGAATTTTGGGTTTCTTCCTACGTTTATGATCACACATGGTATGACTTTATACTTCCTCGATCATACAAAAGAGACAACTAAAAAGATAGTATAAAAGTATCTTATAAAATTCCTTGTTTTTCATTAATTTTACAACACAAATGCACTATTTAGTTTCCTCATAATGATAATAAACCAAAGACACTTCTTGAACCCCTTCATCGGAGTTACTACAATTCCCACATTCCCATGAAGAGGGCAATAGTACAAAAACTACCCAAACACAAACTTACTGTCTCAACCATAATTGATAGTCTATTCCTTTGTCCACAAACTTCTGCCAGGTTCCATCCAAATCAACTTCCTTGGAAGGATTCCAATCAAAATGTCCAAGCTTCACTACAAGTGTATCACCAATTTTCGCAACATAACCATCATTATGAGCATGGTATATTTTTATGGGGCTGCGGCAGTGGATTCCAGCACGTCTCCGAGCTTCGATCAACTCAGTTATGGAATCACGGATGCCGAAATCGTAAAAATGATCATAAAATACCACAGGCTGCAAATTTAGTAAGAAAATATGATTAGAATCCCAATCATTCGACCAAGCAAGGAATCGATGCACAAGAATTTGGCGAATAGAATTTCAACTACACCATGATCATATTATTCTAATCACTAACTTACAACTGTAAAAAAGTGCATGTTTACCATATTAAATCCCTGTTTGACAACCATTATTTCAAAATATTTCATGTTTGGCCCCATTAAAATTATAATCTATTTCTGTCTCTTCTTATCAATCACACATTCTCCAATAAAATAATATTACACGTAAACGAAAAACTTTCTTTTTCTTTTTTTTTTAACCACATTCTCCAGAAAAATACTATTCCAAAAATTATAATATCAAATAATGGGGGCCAAACGAGGGCTAATTCTCATACTCATTTTCAACCATATTTACACAATAAAATATTTCGCACGTAAACCCAAAATTTTTCTCTATTTTTTAACAACTCATTCTCCAAAAAAATCACTATTCAAACCTCCATTTTCTCAAAATAATGGCCATAAAAAATGTGCTAAAGTTATACTAAACAAAAGAATTAAGCAAGAATAAGTGTGTTAGGCAAAAACTTAACCATGCACAACAGAGGTCCACATATTAAGTGAGCATTTGTTTTTTCAAATAGGAGATACACTGATTTTTATTTTTGTGGTCATTTGAAAATAAATGACTGGTGTAGTATAACTGAAAGTGTCTAAAATTGGTTCCTAAAACTTGAAGACGTGTGAATAAGCAAACTTACGGTTCCGGGATGTGTTAAAATGTAAGCATATCCTTGTGTAAGCTTCTCTCTTGGAAATGGCCAATGACCCTGAGAAAAAGTGTTTTAACAGTAAAAATCAGTCAATTGTAACTCGTAATGTTGAAGTTGATATGTACTAGGTAATACGCATGTAATCCCTACAGGTTTGCACAGAAGGGAGGGTGTGCACCTGCATGAATAATGAATTGAGGAAAAAAAGAGAAAATATAGGGTCAACTCCTCTAGTTGTGCCCCTTATTATGCTATTCAACCAGCTGATAAAAGGATTGTTGTTTGTGAGGGTGTGAGGGGGAATAGGTGAGTGATGATACCTGTGTAGATCCAGTATCATGATTCTCTAAGAATGTGACAGCACGAGAGGGCCACCATCCCATAACTCCTGTTGGTTTCCCTTGAGGATCTATTAATCTCCAATATTGATTATGCAGTGCAGAATGGAGAATACCCTGAAAATATGAGGATCAATCTTATAGCTAACTATATAACATTTGATAACCAAATAATGGATAAATTTTATAAGCAAATGTGGAACAAGGAAGCACGTCAAAACATTATTAACACAACTGATTTCTAATCTACCACAATCAACTTATCCAACATTGTGAAATATAAACTTCTAGCAACACAGCATGTAGGTATGAGCGCCTTTAAACAACTTCATCATAAGATCCAGTATATAAGAGCATCTACAAGCGAAAAATAAATTCTAGAATAGTGATTGATGGAAGAGTGTGGTTAAAAAGTAATGAAAATTTTTGGGTTTATGTATAGTATTATTTTATTGATAGAATGTATGGTTGAAATGAAGAAAGAGAAAAAAATGAGAAAGAGAATGAGCAGAAAATGGGTGTCAAACGGGGGCTTAAAATTGTGCTCCAAGAGACACTTCAAATTAACATTTTAAAATATGGAGCGAGTTTGGCTCTTCAAATTTGGAGAGCTAAACCAACTTTTGATAATTAAATGCCTTAAAATATTGTAATTTTCAATGGAGAAAAATAATATAATAATTTGGAAGGAAGTTAATGAAAATAAAAGATACAAAAAACAATAAATGTTTTTGAGAATAGTAAAATTTATTGTTAAAGATAGAGATTATGTTGGAGTACTTGAAATTTTTTTCCCTCTATAAATTTATAGATGCTCTTTAAATTGCTAAATACGCTATTTAAAAATAGAATCTCTTGGACATGCTCTAAGGTCTTAATTTAAATGAGAATAACTAGAAAATTAGGCAAAAAGAACAAATCTGTAATTTTTAAGGAAAACTAAAAAGATTTGGTGGCAAAAATATGAAGGCTGATGTTCAAGAAGACACCTTTGTTGTGACATCAAATGCAGAAGAGGTGCCACCTGTTGCGTTTATCCAGTCAACTATGCGTTGCCGATGAGAATCTGTGCACAGGGGAGGAAAAGAACATTAAAACGTACAAAATTAATGTTAATGCAACATGTAAAAACTAAAATCAAACTAATTACATTAGGGATATGTAAGATGAAAGAACAATAAATCATATAAAATCAAAATATAAGGGCATATAGGCCAACTGTGCAGTGACCTTTTGAAGCCATATAATTTCTGGGAATAAATAACTTTTATGAACATGATAATAATTCACTATATCAGAAAAATATTAAGTTCTTTACAAAAAAAATTATTTTCTATTTTATTGTATATAAAATCAATTATGAAAATTGAAATGTAAGTTGTCCTTTAAATGAAATTAAAAGTTATTTTGACACAGAATGGTCAAGCATGTTGATTTTGAAGTTATTGGATTTAGCACGAACTGATATTAAGGGTATGTTTGAGCTACATTATTTTGGAAGAATGTATTTTGGAATAGTAGATTGATGGAGAATGTATGGTTGAAAAAGAATTAAAAGTTATTGATGTTGTTAAAGGGTATTTAGGTCTTTTATGTAATACCTAGGGTCTCCTAAGGTTTTCCTAACTCTTATTATAAATAGTGGGACAGGCTAACGTAATTGTTAAGCCTTCTAATTCTTTTACTTTAACAGA